ATTGATTCTACAGGTATTTTTATGTCTAATCTGTATACCACCCATTGCAATCTGCATATCACCCATTCATTCTTCAGGTGTTTTTATTTCTAATCTGTATACCACCCATTGCATCTGTCACAAAACATATGACTATTAAGTTTAATTCTTGTATGGATATTAAGATTTCTGCTAAACAGCTGATCATAAAAACAGCTTTAAAGTGCATTATTTTTTTAAATTATTAAAAATACACAATTACGGGTTAATCTAGTCTTTGTTAAAAGCGGAAAGAATCAGTTAAGAAGCTAAAATTTATCGCTTATTATTTAAAAATGGATAAAGGGAATGAATGCTACTTGCTTTTTGTTTTGCATGCTTACCTTATTTGTGAGCGGCTCTTTATTGTTCATCTTGGGCTTTTTTCCAGCTAGCCAAAGCCAACTTGTTGAAATTTATGGAAATGGCAATGTAACAACTAAATCTACAGAATTCTATGGCGTGAAGTAAGTCGGGGACATTATAGAACATGCACCTATTTCACTGGGCACTTCAAAAAACTACTATAGTGAAATAAAAGTCTTTAACTTCTTACTGCGGGAACTGGTTCCCGCGAGATTTCCGGATTAATTATGGACTGTGTGGAGGCCACCTTTTGCAGGTTCTGTGGCATGTACCTGCCATTTTTTTGCTACATATATATATATATATATATATATGCATGCATGTTCTCGGGTACCTCTGTTCTTGCTTGTTAAGGAAATTCTTGAAACTGGAAAAATTCAGATGGTAACCTTAAACTTTTCATGTTTATATTTAGTGTTTCGCGTCACTCTCTTTCTCTCTCACCACATGAGGAGTATTGATTTTTAAAGTGAGAAAATTATCCGTAATTTAAATATCGTTTTTTTGGCTTGTTTATTTTTTCTTCCTCTTCTTCTTTTTGGGAATTCATTTACATTGAAAGACTTATCCGCGGTTAACAGACAATTTTTTAACAGAAAGTCTAACACATGATTTCAAATCTAGATGCGAACTTGTTGTCCGCTTTATTCAGAGAAATTTTTGACACCTAAAAAACACCAGCTAACGGCTTTTTCGTGTTCAAGTTAATTTATTTGCGAAGTTTATAATTACACCTAGAGACTGAAAAAAAGAAGATAACTTTTATAAAACAAAAGTGAAAAAACCAAGAAAAAATAAGAACAAAAAATTGAAGAAATGCCTCAATCAGGTACAATAAATGCCTTAATTGAAATCGAAAACACAAGAGACTTCGACCCCTATTCGTCATACGCGGTGTCTTTTAGGTATCAATCTAAGGTAAAAGTTTAGATAAATTTTCTAATTTTCACATATCTCTTCTGCGTCTTTTGTTGAAAATCGACCAAGTTATCAGAATTTGAGATGAACATTTGAACTTATAAATGAAATCCACAAACCGAAGCCAAATTTGAGTGAAAAAATTGGTCAGCCAACAGGCGAATAATTCATAAAAAGCTCGATCTGATTTCGGGAGTAGTTAAGATTCTTTGAAAAAAGGTAAGTTCGAGGACTTTCTTACTGGATTTTGATTTGATTTTAAAAACGATCACAACGTACAACTAAGTTCTGGAACCTAGAAATTTCTTAAGGTATACAGACTATAGACTGTGTTGTTTCGATTCATTCATACATATATTATCAATTTATTTACTGATTTTCATTTTTTTCATTTTCATTTTTCACAGTTCATTTTTTTTTTTTTTTTTTATATCTTTTATAAGTTTCTATACTTTACAGGAGGAGTGTTCTTATTATCCTTATTTTTAAGGTGATTTTCAGACAACCATTTAAGAAATCTTTTTTACTACACCTATACATGCTTTTAACTTAATATTAAACACAATTTTAATATAAAGAGGAAAGAATTGAACTTACACACAGTAGCAAATTATGATTTTTAATAAAATTCTTATGTGTGTTTTGTATTGTACAATTGTGATTAGCAAAAGAAAAATGGCAACAAAAAAAGAAAAAATGGTTATAGAAAGAATAACTGAGAGTTGACTTACGATAGAAATCGCTTCCGTTATTTTTTATCTTTTTGTTTTAGTAACTTTTTTTTACTTATGCCTATTTACCTATTTACCCCATCGCTGTTCACAACGTGAGTATTTACACAGTATATGCGCAAACGTTTGGGTATCGATGCGACAACCAGTCTCCAGTTGATAGAATTCGGTAAATCTTGTATGCCAGGGTAACATTCCATACGTGCACATATAATCGGAAAATATAATGGTTAGATCGGGTTCACTTAAATCATTAAGACGATGTTTTAAAATTTTCCCGATATGATCGGCAAGAAGGTTGCGCTCTTTTAAAAGATTTTGAATTTTAGATGTGTGTCGCTGCTGATATAAATCGCGACAAATTTGTGCTAGCAGGGGACGACCATCTCCTGGTTGGATTTCATAAATCTGCAAGAGACAACAAATATCATTTGATATTGAATACACTAACATATTAAAGAAATGATAGGTGAAAGGGTTAATCTGCGACCGTTTTGCAAAACTTGCTCTCTGTTGCCTGTATTAGTGTGATAAGGCTTTAAAAGTGTAATAAATAAATAAATATGTATACATAGTTGGCAGAGATAAAGAGCATATACAATTTTTTGAAAACTGTTTTATGTTATTGAATCAGTCAGTCATTGATATCAGTGTTCAATAATCGAGATTATGTTTCGAGTAAATGTAAGACAGATGTAGCAATAACTAAAATTGTTTGCCACTTTCAATACTTATTAAGACTAGATTTATGCTGCCCGTCAATTTGACGTATTGTTCATTTAAAAAGATTAACCTAAGGAAGAGTTCACTTATGTAGAAGTTATGCATTACTTTTTAATGATACAATGAAGTAAGTATATATGTCTATTTTTTTCTTTTTTGGGACACAGCCGCTCTTACTATTTCGATGCAAATGTAATGTTTTATATGTAATTCTAGGGAAAAGCGTCACCCGGTAATTTTCGTGAATTCTCACAGTCACAACAATGAAAATAGGGAGTTGAAATTTGGTAACGCCATTCCTTGATCGGTTAAGAAAGCAAGTTTGCAAAATGGATGCGATCTGTTCACACAGGGGTAATTTTCGTCTATAACTTTCAAACACATGAAGAAAATTGAAAATCTATAACCCACATGCTCATTACGATTACTTTCATGTTCCAATATATACTAACACGTTCACAAAGAACGATCAAATACGATCCAATATGTTTTGGAATAAGTAAAAAATAAATTGGGAAAATTATGGACGTATTGACCAACCAATTGGGAAAATTTTCGCATCAAACTTGCAAGGGGTTCTGGCGAACACTTGGAAAGCAGATTTTCCCGAATGTCATCATGAAATCGAAAGTTACGGCCGAAAATATGAGAGATATTTTCCGGGTTTGTTTTAGTTTCTTCTGCATTCTGGATGTGGCTGTGGTTTATTTGTTAAATTGACGGGTTTACGGATAACTCTAGTGTTAAAGTTAACACAACGCGTATGTATTCATTAACAGAACATGTTTAATAAATGAAGGGGTTCTGGTGAACACTTGGATAGCAGATTTTCCCGAATGTCCTCATGAAATCGAAAGTTACGGCCGAAAATATGAGAGAGATATTTTCCGGGTTTGTTTTAGTTTCTTCTGCATTCTGGATGTGGCTGTTGTTTATTTGTTAAATTGACGGGTTTACGGATAACTCTAGTGTTAAAGTTAACACAACGCGTATGGATTTATTAACAGAACATGTTTAATAAATGAATTACCTTTAACGTATTATGTTGCGCAGCGGAACCATTGTGCAATTGATCCTTACAAAAAGCACCTTTAGATCCATTGATTGCGTAGTTTTCATAACCATTTAATTTCGGTGCTTCTGTTTGCCAAACAGCCTTATATTTATCGAGAGTTTCACTTTTAATACCTTTAGGGCATTTGATCTTCTTCAATGTTAAAGGTTGATTTTTAATCCTGGTTATGCATTGGCGGGTATCATAAAAGCTGATGCAATCTATACCCATTATGAGGGCGTAACTGAAAATGCGTGTCAGTACTTCTTCATTAACCTGTTGATCTTCTGGTCCGACTATCAAATTCAAATGTTTTGGTATTTTACTTAGTTGCGATCGGCAGGCTCTTAGAAAGACAAAGTCCTTATGTTGTTTTGTACTTGGCGTTTGACATAAATCATATGACCATAACGCAAAGGCAATCAAACGCAAACGCAACCAAACAAGTAATTTATAGCATGTCACTATGACATTTAGAAAATTCCATAAGAATTGATATATTCTTATTAGCATCTTTTTTTTATATGTTAAGTAGTAGCAAAAGCTTGGAATGTTGTTTTTTTACGGACCAGATTCTATTGAAGTGCTTATTTTATAAAATTCCCAGACCTCTGTCTTTAGCTCGTTTTTTTATGGGTCATTTAGCACCTAACCTAGAATATATTTTTAAAATTCGATGTTATTTGCAATTAAAAATGTAGTTGTACATTACCTGTGAAGCAAACCGGTTTGAAGACTTAAGTCAATTTTCAAAACATATTAAAACAAATAATATTCTAAGTTCCATTAATAAATAATATTAACAAACACCTCTCTTTTTGCGGCGATAAGTGATTCTTATTGTATTCGTAATATGTCAACAAGTATGACAATTTAAGAGCGATGACAGAGTTGCATGAATACAGAAACTAAATTATTGAAAGGTGCTGCCTAGTTACGCTAGTAATTTCATTGATGTGGTAATCATATTTCGAAGATAAATAATTGCCTTGAGCCTTTGGCAACAATGATTGATTAATTGTTCTGCATGAATCCAATCTGTTTGCAATATTACAAAACAATTGCTAGCCTGAGATTAATAAAATAAGTGCTTTAGGAAAAGTGTTTAATATAATAAGACTTTTAATAGAAAGAAAGAAAGGTAAGTTTTTCTCTACGCTTTAATAAAAAGAAAACAAAAAGACTTTTACAATAATTGCTAATAAATAAAAAGTGCAGTTCAGTGAATTGGAAAAAATTGAAAAATTCCTATTGCAATGGAAGTGGATGCTCAAGGAAAAGCCGGCTTAGTGCATCTAAATTATAGATGGAAAAATGCATAAAGATTGTTTGGCTATGAATATAAATATGGTGGGGTCAGCAGAAAAACACTGATATAGAGTGAAATTACTTTGGGGTGGTGGCTGCTGTTTCTCGCTGTATCTCGAATAGCATAAAATTTATATACAGACTGCATGACGTTTGCATACAAAATTTTGTTTTTGCAGATTGTGGAAATTGTGGAAAATATTAAAATTATTCAAAATTTTATGAGATAGCGGATAAAAATAACCAAAAATATATATGTTCTTATCGTGTAAAATGTGTAAAATATTAGAAAACAGCTGCCATTTTTAGCTGTTTGTGGTTTAAATTTTTTTTTTTTATGATTCATAATGTTTTTGTTTTTTTTCTCCCTTTTTTTTTAATTACAATCCCTGTGTGCGAAACCGCTGTGACGAAGCTATGCTTTTTTTACTTAACTCGGTTTTTCTTTCAAACTCATACTATATGGTGTCTATCCACAAAGGTATTATGTTGCTTTTGCACGTCTCATTGATTGCGGTTTACACTAACAAATTCGTTCTTATGGTACTATTTAAAGTGTTAGGGTAAAAAAAAAGGTGTTTCGATACAGATAATGTTCTATTGATTAATCAATAGACTAGAAATTTTCTATTATTTGTTTTAAAATCTATTATATTTGATATTATATTTGATGTCCACGATATTGATCATATTGAAATTGCTGTTTATATGCAATAATTGCTTAATTATCCTGATAATTGGCTTCCTTTCAATAAACATATGCTACATCTATATATGGTTGTCCTTGAACGGGGTCGAACGTATTTTGAAATTTTATATCTAAAAATCAATGTGTACAGAGGTAGCGCAAGCATATGTAAATAAATATATATTCCACGGAGTTTACTATGCATATACCTAAACTTTTAGCAGATACTCTTGTACTCTTTCAACCCATATTAATGTCAGTAAAGCTTGTCTTGAGGCTTGTGTAAAATAGATATGCAGGTAAAGTACATAAATTCGCCTGTTTACCAGCTAGGTAGCCAGTAGCTACCTCTTCACTAAGTTGCATTTGTTCTAGTAGCAAAACGGCTATGAAGGCTAGAATAGCTAGAATATATAATGCTTGCGCAACTATGCCAGAGGCTTTTCCTTAAGCATATATGAAATATGCACTGTTTTCTGCTAAAGATTGTACCACAAAAGCATTAGTAATAAGTGGCATTGCTACTGCATATTGTCAGATATCTGCGGTTTATTACGGTGACATTACGTTTTGTGCGCGCTAGAGACAGAAAATTAAACCACAAAACTTGGCTTTTGAAGTTAAAGGAGAAGCTCAAATGACCCGAAACGTACTGGGAATGTTTAATTAGCAATTGACTTTAATTTGACCTTTTTACAGTCGCGACTTCAAGGTAGCAGCACACCAAAGTTCTCTTTCAATCTGTAACACATTGCAATAAACAGAACAGATCTCCTTAAGTGTATATATAAATTTGATCAATGTAAGTTGAATTAATAAAAAGAGATTTAGTCATACTCTTCCATTTGCTTGCCTGTCTGTCCTTAGAATAGAGATAGGAGATTCGTATGTAGCTGACGTACACCGATATCGTCTATAGCTTATAACCATTGCCAATATTCATTGAAATCTAAAAATTGGGAAAGGGGGAAATGCGAACCACACTTCTACGGTCGAAGATTTCGTCCATGGCACGAAACTTGATAATTTACTTATACGAATAAATGGGAGCGAAAAAGAAGAGCCGAGCATATTTCTGATCGGAATTTTTTAGGTTTTAATCTGGAAATGCCTAAAGCCGAACACAATATTTTTGTTAAACCCCCATTACTATTCGGTACACCTTATGCATTTTAAAATTATGTATGGAACTACATCATCTGGCCAAGCCGGTGCAATTTGTATGTCTGTGCGTATGTTAAAATCTACGTACATAATTAATGTCACGGCTTTGTCATAATAAGGTCGTCCTTCATAGAAATAGCCAAGTCATTTATCTATCTATAATTGCGACACATGCATACATTTGTGTTTCTATTAAAAAAAAAGCTATTGATTTATAAAGTTTGTATTTTAGAAAAAGAAGGCAAGAAATCGGAAAAAAAAAAAATAAAATGCAATTAAATTCGAAAAATTCTTTACTATCCTCTCATACAAGCCAAATTAAATTTATTGTTTATCTGAATAATATAATTGCGTTATTTTTTACTTGAAATTCTGCATAATATGCATTTTAATCAGTTTCATAGTATTTTATGCATTGGCTATGTAGAGATAAAACGTTTTTCTTTTATTTTTTCTTTACGTTCAGTTGCACTCTGATTGCAACTGATTTCTGTTATGCTTGAAAATTTTCATTTTAAACACCGACCAGTTGTTGAATACAAGAAGGAAAAAAAAAAAAGAAATGAAATAAGTGAAGAAAAATTCGCAGAGACGAGTACAGTTCAATTAAGAAAGTTGTTTTGTTATATATACATACATATATACATACATACATATATACATACATATATATATATTTTTTTTGGTTTTTCCTTTCTGTCTGGACACTTGTTAATACATTTAAGCTTTTATGTTTGTTTATAGACAATTATAGAAAAATAATTGTGAATGTCATTGCCTCTTTGCCTGCCCGCCTGCCTGCGTGCCAGCCTGCGGGCATGATCAGGTGGTTACTATGCTAGCTAAGTGGCGCATTGTACTATGAATGCTATTCGAGTTTTTTTACCTCAATCATCTAACAGCGTGTCTTATTTAACGGACCATTGAACTACTTATACGACGAAGCTCTTAAGTGTATCAAACGCGTTCACATTACTACATACTTATAATCATTGTTTCCATTATTAATTATATGATTTGCGTTAGTTTGTCTGCATTCATTTTAATTGATTCTCTTTGAATTTATGTTGCGTCTTGTACAAGTCTTTATGTAGAATGTTTGACATAATTTACGAAATATTTTTAACGCTATTTTATGGCCACTTTGATTTGTTGTTAACAGTCTCTTAAATTAAATTTTTTGTTTATAAAGACAATCAAGTATAAACCGGATTTTCATGCTTATGCACCTAGAAAGCGATAAATGTTTTCGTATTTTTATCTTTTTTGTTTCCTCTTACAGTATTTTAATCAATTAGGGGAATCTCAAGTATATATTCTCATATTTTCATCAGGGTATCCGTTAACGCCGGATTATCTAGAAATATACATTCGAGTTATTAAAGCGCATTCACTCTTGATCAGGGAAGATTTCTTGAGTCGACCTAATTATCAGTCTGACTGCTTGGACGTGGGTTTCTACCTGTCGTCTTATTGGAACGATCGCAAAGTTAGCCATGATTTGATTTGGGCACACTTAGTCACAGACTAATATTAAAATGATTCCGCCGTAAACCGACTTGAAGAACACGCATATATTCTTGCAAATTTGGACTATCCAAAATATCAAGAAAAATGTTGATATGGCCGCTCTAAAAAGCATGCTCTCAGTAAACAAACAAGTAAAAATTATAGTGAGCCCGGTCCACTGTTAATATACTACACCATCTTACAATTATCTATTCATCGACTTTTCAAAATAAGTCATTATGTGGGAAGCCGTCGAAAAGGTGCCTCGACATGAACTATTTTCAATAGGGCTTGTCATTGGGCCAAAACACGTTAGCAAATTTTGTCAAAATGTCTGAAAAATTACGCACCGTGGGTTAAACGTAAGAACGTACGACAGGCAAAAGGATAGACTAGCTTAGTTAGCTTAGGATAAAAGGTGGGTCTATCTCAAGTCTTTCTTGGTGTTGTATGCTTTCGCACAGCCATAATATGCCCTTGTACCAAAAGCGTTATAGGTTATAATAAATAAAAACGGTATAGCTAGGCAAGGCAGTTCATTGAATACTTGACTTCCGCTGACATCATCATCTTCATCTTCATCATCTTTTTTCTTGTTATAATACCAAAAATTTTATTCTCTTAAAGACACAACAACATGGTGGGACGCCAGACAGAGGGATGGACAGAGTACTTAAATTGATTTAGAAAATGGCTTTGAATTGACAGGTGTAATAAAAGGTGGTTTTGCATGGCATGAAAAAAATAATACGGACGCTATACAATATGGTAGCATAGCCTTGTTGTATGTTAACTTTCGTGTAAATAATGCGACGCATAAGCATTGCATGATTTACGCGTCAATTCTAAGGTTTTATTTCAGTGTACCAGTATACCAGTGCTTGTTTTGCGACAAGCAATCGATGAAATGTGCAATCTCTTAGACCTCGAAGGAGGGTAAATTGTAGGCGATTGGTTAGCGGGGGCGTTTGTGACGAAAACATTTGAAATGTTTCACGTTTGACGAGCGACCACGACTGTTCACGGTAGTGACAACGGTTCGTTGAAAACTATTCAGACGCTCTACGAATCTCTTGCATGAAGAAATGCAGTTGCTTTGGAAGCAAAGGGTGGGCTAACATTTGCCTGAGAAAAATATTGGGTTTTCGTAGCAGAAATATGTTTCAGAAGAATTCACTGC